CTGTTGCTCCTTGGCAACAGCAGCAGCAGCAGCAGCAGCAGCAGCAGCAGCAGCAGCAGCAAGATGCGAGCGCTGTGGATATCGTCCCGCGGAACGCAACGCCGCTCGTGCCCCATTGTGTTAGCGCGGAACCTCGCCCGATAGCGCGAGTAGCGCCAATGCGGAGGAGAGGTCGCCTGTCTTTGTTACGCCGACGACGAGAGGGGGTAGAAGAAGAAGATGCAAATGAACCTCCTCTGCGTAAGTTTATAAGCAATAAAACAAGAATAACTAATTTTTATAATAAAAATATATTAACTAAAGATTGTCACATTTTAGGAAGAGCTCGTAGAGATGAAGCGGAGCTTCCTCCTTCTCCTCTAGCCTTTGATTCCGGTAAGTAAACCATCTCTAAATAATTAAACAATGAGAAATATAAAGGAATTATATATATAAACTTTTATATTGATTTTTAGATGAAGATGTGTAAATACTGATGCCCATACGGCCTGATCAAAATGCCAATCAGCAGCAACAGGCGGAAGCGGAAGAGGAACGAGCGTATGAATTGTGGAGAAGGATGGTGGACGAAGAGTTCGCAGATATTTTTGAGCGAGAAACAATTCATTTGTCGGAGTTCAGTGGGGACGACAACAACAACATTAACAACGACGACGACGATGACGACAATGACGACGACGACGACGACGACGACGACGACGACAACGACAACGACGACGCCGGTAAGAACGACGACGACGAAGACGCCGGTGAGAACGACGACGACGAAGACGCCGGTGAGAACGACGACGACGATGACGCCAGTGAGAACGACGATAATAATGGCGATGATAATGGCGACGAAGACGCCGACGATGATGAAGATTCTATCGCGGAAGGTTAGAATAGTTAAATGTTCATATAATTGTATATAATTGTATAAAATTGTATAAAATTGCGAAATATAATTTGATATAATAAAAAAAAATAAAAGAACCAATTAGCGATATAAATTAGGTAGACGCTTCATTTAATTAAATAAATATACGTTTAATATATATATATACTCGTTGTCCTACTTATTTAATTTCCCTGTATAAACTTAAAATTACGTTAAGAAATATTACATGAAAATAAATGTTTTAAATTAATATCGAGCATAATTAAGTTTCATTAATATTGTGCATGTCCAAACGCGTTTTTCTTATGTTACGCGGTAGAAATTGACGCGATAAAAAAAGTCACACACTCAGTATATTTTTCATTAAACCAATGAATGAATATAAGGCCTTACGAGCCGTTCTCAAGGTGTTTGAGCGAGAACTTATACATGTATATATATATAAGTATACACATGTAACGAATTCACTTGTAAATTTTTACAAGTGAGTTTTTTGAATTGAAATCTCAATTCTCAAAATCATACGGGATGCTAGATTTGCATCTCACATATGAGAGACCCCGGATACCCCCCCTAATTTACAAGTGAATTCGTTACATGTGTATACTTATATATATATACATGTATAAGTTCTCGCTCAAACACCTTGAGAACGGCTCGTAAGGCCTTATATTCATTCATTGGTTTAAATTTCACGAGCCTTAAGTCTTTATTAATTATTTTTCATTAAATTTGACTTAAATTTTGTATTTCTATAACAATATTTATTTCTATAACAATATATTTGCAACACCTTATATACAACACGTATATATATGAATTTAATCAAACGTAATTGAAGCGTCTGTCTAATGTATCAATAATTGGTTCGTTTACCGTCGTTTGATAATCGCTTCTTAATCTATTGAGAATTTTTGTATTAAGCTTTTGCATTTACAGTGCAATACGGGCGCGGAACTGTAAATGTTGCGCAAGAAAATAGTAGTAGTAAACAGGACGGCACACCAACAACGAGCGCAGCGACGACACCGTCGAGCGTTACACCGGCAGCAGTGCTACTCCCGCCACCCCCGACAGCGCCGCCGAGAGAAGCAACAGCGACGACATCACCGCCGAGCGTTACACCGGCAGTGCTACTCCCGCCACCCCCGACAGTGCTGCCGATGACGAAAGAAGCAAATAGATCGGTGAAAATAATAATAATTATACATTTATTGTATTACGGACGGAAAACGCGCGTAGATTTAAGAAATTCGGGGTAATAAGGAGAGAGGCGACAGTTGAGATCCGCGAAAACCAGCCTGGTGCTGAAAGAGTAGAATGGGTGGAGGGGGCATTTCGCGAAATTCACAGATACGCAACACATTTATCGGAGCCGAATAATTACGTTGGAATGTGGCTCGACTCCCCGACTTTGACCAACGGTGCAGCGGGTCTTTCTTTTCGTCCTGCGCGTGACTTGACTCACGAGAATATTTGGTCTCTCGTGAGTTCGGTTGCGCAAAGTAACGGAGGGATAGACATCGCTACGTCGTTTACGATACGCGTATGCACCGTCCACTCTCCGTCGGGCAAAGAAGGCCGTCCTTTGAGCGCGGAAGGAATCGAGAAACGCTCGATTCTTTCAATAACGAATAGCGACAACCTCTGTTTCCTTCGCTCACTCGTTGCCGCACGGGTATATCTCGAACGAGGTAACACTTGCACGGGCGAGCTACATGAGCGATGGAATGCAATGAGACGTTCGAACTCCTCCTTACAACGCCAATGGGCACAGGAGTTGGTGGAGAGAGCAGGCGTCACAATTCCGGAGGAGGGTTGTGGTATTGGGGAAATTGAGCGATTTCAACGGTACCTTGCCGGGGAGGGGTTAGCTATAATTGTTTACGCCTCGTCTACTTTCGCGAAAGGCGGAAAACCGTTGTACAACGGTGGTGCGTTGCTCGCCTCTCTCGGACGCGAATTCTCGCTACGTTTAAATATTCTTTATTGCGAGGGTTCGCGTCACTATTGCCCAATTTTAAATTTAAGAGCGGCGGCAGGGAACAGGAGATACTGCATTCCTTGCAACCTGCCTTATCGTCCCAAACGAGGAGTTCATCGATGCTCGCATAAATGTCCGCGTTGTCGCGGTGTGCCGTTGTGCGAAACAGAAGAAGTAGAATTAATTTGATGCGAGCAATGTAAGAGAATGTTTTACGGGCGCGAGTGTTTCGAGCGTCACCGAGCCGAAAAATCGTACGGAGACAGTCGCGTGAGTATGTGCAGCGCCTTGCAATTTTGTGACGATTGCGGGCGTTTGTACAGAACAGCGGGTGCGAGGCACGAATGCGGCGTCGTGTTTTGTAACATTTGCAGTTCGCGTCAAGATGTAAACCATCTTTGTTATATTCGACCTCTTACACGCGAGGATTTCACCGGCAAAGGAAAAAACACGCGCGTCGCATTCGTGTTCTACGATTTCGAGACCCGACAGGATGAGACGCTCGAAGGTACAGCGTCTGTGAAAATTCACATGCCCACTCTTTGCGTCGCACAGCAGATTTGCGTCGCGTGTGCGGGCGAGGACGACATGACGGTACGTTGCCGGTGGTGCGGTGTGCGCAAATTCGTGTTCCGCGATGATCCGGTGAGGCAATTCGTCGATTTCGTTACGAGAACAACGAAATGTTTCAAGCAGATTATCTGCATCGCGCACAACGCCAAGGCGTTCGACGCGCAGTTCATCCTTCGTTACATCACGGAAAAACGTGTCGATTTGGATCCACGAGTAATATTAAACGGGACGAAAATCGTAGTATTACCGGCCGGACGTCCAAAATTTATTAACAGTATCAACTATATGCCGATGCGTTTGTCAGCTCTGCCAAAGGCTTTCGGTTTGCGGGGTGGGGTGGAAAAGGGATATTTTCCGCATTTATTTAACACACTCGCGAATCAGTCGTACATCGGTCCGTTACCAGCCGTTGAATATTACTCGCCGGATAGTATGTCTAGCAAAGAACGCAAACGTTTTTTTGTCGTGGCACGCGGAACAGATGCGCGAAAACGCAGTTTTTGACTTTCAACGCGAGATAGTTTGTTATTGTCGTAACGACGTTGATATCTTGCGGCGAGCGTGCATGGCCTTCCGCAAGATATTTCTCGAGCGCGGAAACGTATGTCCGTTCGAAGAATGCACGACCATCGCTTCCACATGTATGCGCGTTTTCCGCAAACATTTTCTACGTGAGAAAGAGATCGGCGTCATTCCTCACGGCGGATATTGTCTCGCGGATACGCAATCCCGCAAAGCTCTGCAGTGGCTGGTGTGGAAGGAGCGCGAGCTTGGCCGCATCATTGTTCACGCGGGTCACGGGCGAGAACATCGTCTCGCGGAAGTCGGAGGCATTCCCGTCGACGGGTATTACGAGACGGCGAACGGTGAGCGTCACGTGTTGAAATACCACGGCTGCTTTTGGCACGGATGTCCCGTGTGTTTTAAAACGGAACGCGACAAATGTCTCTGCACGGGAGAACGCGAAGTACGACACGATGAACTCGCAATACGAGCGTACACTGACAACGTCATGGCGTCTTCGAAAACGAGGGTACATCGTGACGGAGAAATGGGAGTGCGGTTTTGATTGCGATACGCGAGAAAATCGCGAAATGCGAGCGTTTTTAGACCAACATCCGATGCTCGCGGCTGAACCGCTTTCACCGCGTGACGCGTTTTTCGGCGGTCAAACAGAAAACATCGCGATTCGACGCGAAGTTACGGGTACGGAGAAAATACATTACGTAGACGTGTGTTCTCTATACCCTTACGTGTTGAAAACCGGCGCTTTTCCGATTGGACATCCGAAAATTTTTGTCGGACAAAAAGAATGCGCCTTGCTCATCAAAGCGAAGCCCGGTGTCGATTTTTCCGCGGTCGAAAGGCTTGTGCGTTGTAGAGTGCTCCCTCCGCGCAATCTCTTTCACCCTGTACTCCCGTACCGCGTGCAGGGCAAACTGCTGTTTGCCTTGTGCCGCAGTTGCTGCAAAAACTTCTCGCAGACACAGTGCTCGCACGAAAATCCGCGCGATTGTGAATTCGAAGACGTGTGGGTATCGTGTGAATTACGCAAAGCTGTGGAGAAGGGTTATCTCGTGAATGCAGTGAGCGAGATATGGCAATACGAGACGAGCCGATACGACGCTGATACGCGTCAGGGGGGATTATTTGCCGAATACATAAATTGTTTTCTCAAATTGAAGCAAGAGGCGAGCGGATGGCCGAGCAAATGCGTGGACGACAAATCTAAAGAACAATATCTTTGAGAATACAAAGCAGTCGAGGGTATTGCTCTAGATAGAGCAAACATTGCGCAAAATCCGGGTTTACGCACGGTCGCAAAGCTGTTCCTCAATTCGTTTTGGGGAAAATTCGGGCAACGATCAAACTTGACGAGTACCGAGGTGGTAAAGTCGCAGGAACGTCTTGTATCGCTATTGTCGAGCCCCGAGCACGAGGTAACCGATATATTACCTGTGACTGACAAGGTAATATATGTTTCGTGGCAAATGCGGGACAAGGCGGTCGTACCCTTCTCCGATTACCAACGTGATAATAGCGGCGTACACGACGGCACAGGCGCGATTGAAACTGTACAAATATTTAGAACGTTTAGGCGAGCGCGTTCTTTATTACAATACAGATTTGTGTATTTATGTGAGCAGCGGAGAACCCGGCGAATACGAACCGCGTACGGGAAATTTCCTGGGCGATATGACGGACAAGCTCGAAGGCTACGGCCGTGGTAGTTACATCGAGTCGTTTGTATCCGGTGGCCCAAAATTTTACGCGTACGTAGTTCGTACTCCGGACGGTGGCGCGCGGGAGGTGTGTAAAATCAAAAGAATCACTCTCAATTCCGCAACCCCCCGCATAATTAATTTCAATAGCGTTAAAGAAATGTTAATGAGAAGAGAGAGAAAAGAAGAAAATGTGTCGATAAATCTGCATTTTAGAGCGATTTGTCGCACCGCGTTTCACGAGGTTGTGACGCGGGACGAATAAAAAATCTGCTCGTCGGTTTTGCTGAAGCGTAGATGTATCGACGAGCGACGCTCCGTTCCATACGGCTACTTAGAATAAAACTTTTTTTCGCGCATTCTCTTGTAAATAGTTTTTATATTTTAAACGTATTAGTAAGAATTAAAATTGTATATATATATGTATATGTTTTTTGTACAAATCAGTCATAAAGTAAGCAAGCGCTTTGTACAATAAAAGAAAAATATATAAGTTAGTTTAAGAATCGTGTGTAAAAATAAGGTTATAAAATGCGAGAGTTTCTGTACATGTTAGTAGATTAAGCAATATATACACGATTTGTAAAACGTAATAATATTTTAATAATATTTTAATAATAATATTTTAATAAAAAAAAAATATTTTAGTGTTATTAAATTTTTTTAAAAACAAAATTAAAAGATTGCTTTTTCCCGATCTCTGTTTTCTTTTATCCTTAAAAACTTTTTGATATAACCTCAACAAAAAGCTATAAGCTTATATTGGCGCGCGCGTTTGACGAGCTTATTTCTACGCGCGCGACAATAAGCTGATTTTTTATGAAAACAGCTTTTCAATTATCCGGAATAAGCTCACCGTTGCCGCGACAAAAATTAGCTAATTTTTGCGGCAAAACGCGGCCGCCGCGGGGCCCGACGCGCCATGGTGAGCTCATCGCAAACAAAAAACAGTTTAATTTAAGAGTTATACAAGCGGCAATTTGCACAGTCTTCAAAATGGACGTGCGCTGGAAACATCCCTGGACGTCGATCGTTTGAGGTCCTACGGGATGCGGGAAAACAACTTTTGTAAAGACTTTTCTCTGTTATTTGCCGAAAATGGCAAATATTTAATTCGAGAGAATTTTATTTTATTACGGCGAGTGGCAAGAAGCCTATCTCAAGTTGCAACGCGAGATGGAAAAATGTAAAATTGAATTTAGCGAAGGACTACCCCGCCCGGAATATTACTCGAACGACCCGCTTTGTGCGAAATTAATAATAATCGACAATCTTATGCGAGAATCGTCCTCGTGCGAAGTGATCGTTGATTTGTTTACCAAGGGTAGCCATCATAAAAATCTTAGCGTTATACTTATTTCACAGAATCTCTTTCATCAAGGACGCGGTCAACGCGATATTTTGCTGAATGCAAATTACATTGTGGTTTTCAAGAACCCGCGCGATCGCGCGCAAATTCGCCATCTCGCGCGTCAAGTCTATCCCGACAACGCAAAGTTTTTGGAAGAAGCGTACTACAACGTCACTTCGCGTTCTCACGGTTATTTACTGCTCGATTTGAAACAATCAACACCGGACGAATATCGTTTTCGAACGTGCATCTTTCTTAACGATCCGCGTCATTACGTGTACGTACCCCGCAAATCCCTCGCGTGAAAACAAGCGTATAAAAACCCGAAGCACACGAG